TGATTGTGATGGGATTTAGTACAATAAATGACCACCTTGGGTCACCATGTAAATCAATGGTGATGATTTACTATTCACGATTAGCCTTTCACATTACTCTTCCAGTTTCACTGCATTTCAAAGAACCATTTAAGTGGAGTTTCACATTTTTTGAACATTCTGGATTGTTGGGAGGCTAAGCTGAAGCTATAGTATGAGGCTTAAAAACGGAAGAACGTGATGCATTACCTCCAGGTAACAGAGATTTATTTTAAGGGCTTTTCTGCCTCTTTCAGTAGTAAATCCTGTTCCCAGTAAATACTTCACTGGAGAACCAGTCACTGGTCACTTTTTAAAAAGCACCTAACTTTTCAGCTAGTATTAAAGTTTTGTTGAAGTGTAGCCCTTTTATGAAGTAAATCGTGGTGTTGATATACTTGAAGAATGTTCATAAATTGCTAGGACTTATCATCAATATTACCCAGATATAAGCCAGGAGCCTCTCCTGTTGTGCCAGAAATCTAAATGGGACTCTTATTTGAGGATACTGAAGTGGCTTAAATTTTGGCAGTTGCTCTGTAAAAGCTAGCTAATCTTTTCTGGTATACTTCTCTTGAGTTTGTATAGTTGACTATATAAAGCATATTGCAAATATTAAAGATGTAGTAAGAATATTTAATTGATTTGTAAATAGAATTGTAGAATCTGTCAGAATAATCCCAATAAAGAATTTTAGAGGCCTTCTCACTTTAGAAAGTAGGCAACTGATACACCTGAAACTGCAGTGTGTTCACATTCACAAAGCATGGGTGGTGGCAGAGCGCATAGTAGCCACCTTGACCCAGTGCATTGCTCTTAATACAGAGCATGCCATATTCTGCTCTCTTTATGTTATAATGGGAAGTAATGTTTATATATGAATAAATTATTTTGGTTTCTTTTTATCTTGACATGGGTGCCAAATAAAATTACATGCTTTTATATTACAAAAGTGATCATTCTGATGTGTATATATTAATGACTGAATTGGGAGTGTCAGTCAGCGAAAGTGAAACTTCATTGGATCTTTGTCATTTTGTAATTCTAAGTATACCTCTGGAAAGTAAGCTTCTCTTTGCTAAAACGTAAGCTCCACAGGGCAGTGATTTTAGTCTTTTTTTATTGTTTTAATCACTGGGATACCCCAATGCATAAAAATGCCTTGACACATACTAGGCACTCAAAATGTTTGTTGAATAAATAATGGTTAGAGTCACAGACTCCCTGGATGCACATACTAGCCACTTCCCATTTACTAACTGTGACCTTGGGCAAGTTATACCATCCTTCTCTGCCTCTGTTTCTTTATGTTTAAAATGGGCATGATAATACTACCAACCTTATAGAATTCTTATAAGACATGTAAAGTGGTTGCTGTTGCTGTTACTGAATATTCAGTTATCTGGTGGGCTGTTAGTAGCATTATTTATTCTGTAACTGGACCGTAACAACAATCCTTAGCATTAGCTTTTGGAACTCCTTGGAGCTGGAGGGTACCTTAAAGTTCTTACGGTCTGACTCAGACTGAAATCACTACCTGAGCATTACCTGAAAGCACTACCTGAGTACTTGGAGGCCATGCCAGACCATCTTTGGGTAGCTTCAAATATAAGACGGATTATATTGAGGCAAAAATTCTTCTCATTAAAGAATCCATTGGTTTGAGGGCCGGCCCCGTGGCTTAGCGGTTAAGTGCGCGTGCTCCACTACTGGCGGCCCAGGTTCTGATCCCGGGCACGCACCGACGCACCACTTCTCTGGCCATGCTGAGGCCGCGTCCCACATACAGCAACTAGAAGGATGTGCAACTATGACATACAACTATCCACTGGGGCTTTGGGGAAAAAAAAAGAGGAGGAGGATTGGCAATAGATGTTAGCTCAGAGCCGGTCGTCTTCCTCAGCAAAAAGAGGAGGATTAGCATGGACGTTAGCTCAGGGCTGATCTTCCTCACAAAAAAAAAAGGAATCCATTGGTTTGAGCTGTAGCTCATGAGCCTTCCAGAACTAATCTATCCTCATCCTGTAGCAGTTCCTAATCCTACAATATTTGAAAACAAGTATCATGTCTCCTTGAGAGGCAGCTCCAAAGTAAATATCCCTGATGTTAACTCTAGCGCTCTCTTTGGCATCCTGGCCCCTGACAATGAAAGTTACCATTTCTGACCATCACAGAAGATTAACATTATTGTCTCATCTTAGATTCTAGACTTCTAATATAGCTAGAGTAAGATTGTGGAGGGAGTAGGGGGGTGAGCTCTACAGCCCACTGCTTAGTTCATAACTATCAACTAAGTCCCCCAAGTCCTTTCCATGTGTGCTGTGTACCCATGTTTCCCCATCGCATACCTGTTCATTTAGTCTTGCAGGTGCAAGCGTACATTTCCTTTTATTTTGTCAAAGGTTACCTTACTTTTCTTGTTCCATTCTGGTAAAGTCCTTTTTGATCTACCTTACTCCTTTCTTACCCAGTTTCATGTGTCATGCCCTGTGTCAATTAAGTTTGTTTACAAAATTACCAATATCTGTACATACGTAGGTTTTGTTTTGTTGAGAAGAAGGTGATCATTATATTCTGTAGGTTTGATATGCCTGTTCTTTGATAAGTACAGAGTATGCCCTGGTGTAAACATTTTCTAATGTATTTATTTATTGTTGATTGATGATCAGGGTGTTTCCAATTTGTTGCTATTAACAGCACTACCACAATGCATCCTTTCGATCATATTTTTGTGTCTTGTAGAACACTTCTCTTTCCAAATTTTCTTGGTTGTTTTTCCATTTATTCTTCCAGATGAACTTTATTTATTTTTTCTTTAATTAAAAAGAATGACTTTTATTGCTTTTCTATATAATAAAATCCATGCCTGTTCGCTAAATAAAATTTAGAAAACACAGACCCTGGAGACAGCCAGTTGGACTACACGTGTACATTTTACAAAAAACAACATTCAGTCTCATAATTTGCTTTTTAAAGATAATCTAACATTATGTTTTAATTCTTTCCATGTCAATAAATACGTATTGTCATTTTTTTTTTTTTTTTGTTTGGGGAAGGCACCTGTTCTAACAGGTGGAATTATTTATTTATTTTTTTG